CAATAGAAACTAAATATATACTACATTGTTATATATAGAAATGTATTGCAATTGGATTTGCAATTTCATCGTATGTAAATAGCGTAAAGTGCACATTCAATTGTTACGTTGAACGAATTATGCGATGAAAATAAACACAAATGTGAATTACCAATTATCTATCAGGGATGCCAAAAGCGCGGAGATTCTCCGCGTTTAGCTGAAAACGCGGAGGTTGTGCGCGACTGATTCCGAGAGTCGACGAATCGACGAACGGCATTAGCTCCCATTGACTAAGGGTTGACAAAAAGAATAAGAATCAAAATCAGAATCAGAAAAAAAATCTACAATTTCTGACCGATTTATGACATGATATTACGATATCTCAGTTGTACATGGACCAATTTTATTGATTTTGGTTTTATTCGAAAGCTTACATGCGATTTACATCAGAAAAATGTCTTTAATTTGGAAATTTTTGCAGGCGTGATGAGATATTAATGAAAGAAGTTGGAATCCCAGTTTTACGAGTAAAAGACACGTGATAGCGCCACGGTATATACGGGGTGGCTTTATAATTTTTCATATACTTGGCGTCGATACGCTACCGCGTCTCTAGATACCGCAAAAGCACTCCTATATAGCTTGGCATGTCTCGTAAACTTTGTTTCGAATAGCACAGTGTGAAATTCTGTAGCAGAAGCTTAGTGCTCGAAATGACATCCCATTTGATAGAAATCTCCAATAAGGAACAACTTGTATACAATAAATCAACATATCCATTAAAAGAATAATTGAAAACACTAACATAACACAACATAACGTAACTATCTTAACATAACATTGATTAATTGTTTTTTTTTTTCACTAATTTGAGGTGAAGCAGCCAAAATTAAGTGGCGAGGTTTGAGGGACACGCTTCGCAAGGAATTGAGTAAGAATATTAAAAAACGGACTGAAAACGAAGGAGGAATTATTAAAGAATCTAAGTCCAACTTCCAATTTCGGAAAAGGCAATTGCAGGGCAATGTCCCAAACGAGACCACATTTGATGAAAACATCCAAAATTCAAGAACTACTTTTTCCCCCCGATTCCCATGAAAAAGAACTGGAATCACCACCGCAATCTGTACAATCACATACAATAATATATAATAAATGAATCTCAAACCTCAACAAAAAAAAATTTACAAACATGAATAATGCTTATACGACTAAAAAATTGATGATTTTGGAAGAACAAAAAATAAAAATATTGAAGGAGAAAACGAAACAAAACGAAGATGCAGACTACCATTTCTTAATGAGTTTATTGCCTTATTTGAGGAAAGTACCTGATGAAAGAAAAATGATTGTGAGAAATAAACTCCAAAATGTGTTTTGTGAAGAGGATCTTTTGGGGGGATTCAGAGGTCAACATTCTATACATAATTATGGCGTTTCCGCATGTGGTTCATCGACGAGTGATACTTCGGCAAATGGTTCACAAGCGGAAACTCTACTTGGTGCTCCTCAACATGAAGACCTTGATTCGTTCATTTCAAGTGTAACGCATTAAAAATGCAAGTGCAATTTGTTCAATTTTACTGTGTATTTTATTTCACTTTCCTGTATTTTCATTTTTGAATATTTCGAATGTCCACTGAAGTAAAGAACTGAATATATTGTTAAACTTTTTCTTACCTTAAAGTTACAGCCAGTCTTTGCTTTGCCGAAATACATACACGAAAATTGGAGAACTTTGTAATGCTTTCTTCTATCTCCTTCAGTATGTATTCAAATGTTGCAGGTCTCATCCTGAAATACTCGAAAAACTTTTCCGATTGCTCCCACAATTCTTGAAATAACATTTTAAATTCTCCTTTGTCGACTCTACTAGAAAATAACCAGTTGACATGCTCTATTTTTTCATCATTTAACAACATTATCTTCATTAACAGACTTTCAAGAAAATAAAATTCATCAAGTTCGTTGTTGCGGAACGCGTCGTGCGGTGATAGGGAATTTTCTGACGTGGGTGCCCGTGGAACGCTGAACCGCTCTGCCCGGAGAGGCGCGTGAAATAAAAATTCGAAATACTTTTAGGAAAAAGCAAAGACGTTTATTCAGTCGATTCGTTTGGTTTAAATCGTTTCGTAGTTCGTTACTAGAGATTCGATTACGATTGATCTCTCTGGAAAAATCCTCGCTCTATCTGCTGCTTCTCTCCCTTCTCCGGAATATTCCCGATCCTCCCTTCGGGTTGTCCTGGTCCAATCGGGGGTTACGCCCTACTTCTTCTATCGGTGATCTTCATCGATCTTGGATCCACCCCCAAGTCGGGTGGAGGTGGGAGTCGCGCGGCCATGTTTATGCAAGACTACATGTAAAAAGGGAAAACGCGGAGGTCTAGAGAGAGAGAAAACGCGGCAGCGAGACACAGCAACCCTTAAGGAAATTTGTTACCCTCTTGAAGAAATCGCCGGAAACGCGAACCGAGGTACAGCGTGAGTCTGTTATTTTCAAGGATCTTACGAGCGGGACAAAAGCTAACTCGACTCGAACTCTAAAGAAATGCATTCCAACGGAAACGGCGATTCGACACGGCCTATAATAAATCTATCAAGTATTTTCAGCGAACGTTCTCTTTTCTCTTCTGACTTTCAACAATGTACGTGACGGTTCGTTGATTCAATGGGTTAATCCATTTGGATTCCGCTTCTAATTTGAATATAAATATATACTACATACGGTAGTGTTTAAGCTATTCCGCGTTGTGGCGCTACATGCCATGAAGCTAAGTTCACGTGATAGCGTAACACCTTCACCCTTATACAAAAAGGTGTTTTGACAAAACAGCTTTTTAGTTGAACAATGAACCATGGTATTCTCTATTGACGTAAGGCGATTCGGATTTTGAAATTGACGCGATACATATATACACAGTACGACGGTACTTATGGTAAATACAAGCGGTAACGCACGCATGGCTTAGAATTTACTTACTGACCCGCAATGAAATTTTCGGTGAGTTTTAATATACATTGTATGCCGGACATATAATTAACAAGGTATTAAAGATAAAGGCAGTACATAATACGAATACAAACTAAGGGTGTGTTGAATATAAATAATACAGATGGTCCGAATAATCCTTATACATTGTGACGTGGGACACAGATTCCTGCGTCATAATTAAATGCGTCACAGCTTAAATAATTTTTAAATATTATTATTATATATTTTTTACTTGCCTATCGGCAAGGTCAGGTCTTTGTCACAGCAGTCCCGTACGGGCCCTGGCTCGTATGTGAATTTCTATGTCCTTTATTTTATTTAAGATTTGGGATTTCAAATGGATGTGAGCGGTTAATTCAACTATAAGAATGTTCTACTGTTAACATGCCACTGTAATATTTATTCAATTAATATTTTCGTGGTATTGATTTTGATAATACAATGAGTTATGTGATTTGGATCAAATGTACGTTTGGTCGACAAGATTTAATACACACACTTTCTTATAATCTCATACAGAAAATACACATATGAGATCGTCAAAAACTCAGTTACGCATTTAATAAAGAAAAACAATGAAAGAAATATATATATATTTGTTCCTAGAATATCAGATAGGGTTACCCCGGAAATGAAATATATCATTTATTGATATTCCAGAAACCAGAAATTGTAGTTTCATATAATAAAGAATACAATAAAATTGTCGGAATGATATTTTAGAAAATATCGATGGAAATACCACCCGAGAACCCAAAAAATATTGCTTGGAAGAAAAATCAACTCACCACTAAATCTCTTTACAATATAAGTCGAGAAAACGCTGGTCTCGACTATGTGCGTTGTTCGAATCGCCCTGTGGTTGAAGGAAAGCACACACACGTGAAAGAATTATAATTTACGTAATCAAAAGTGAAATTACTATTTACAAAAAGAAAAAAAAGAAAATCTAAATCTAAAATGCTTTAAATAAATTAAAATAAAATTATTTTAACGAGGAATAAGAGTCCTTGCCTATCACTCACTTTTCACAAAATGAATTTACTTTAATACTGCAACTCTGCTCTAAACTATTCGCTCGGACTAATACCACGCTTTCACGACTGTACGATGAGAAGTGAGAAGGCTCGTGCCTTGCTCGACCACGTAAACTCGATGGAACGTTCTAGAAGCTTTGGAGACAAAGGATCTTAGAACCACGTGATCGTCGCCAGTTTATAGAAAAAGTCTTCAAGATTTCGCGACTCGGTACACGCAAGAATTTGGTGTTTACGAGTTGTACAGCGTCTCGCGTCTCGCGCCCACCAAACCGCTCGATTCGTCCTTGCGACAACGTGCGCGCGGACGAATCACGCTGCTATTCGAGTTACGGCTTCGGTATTCGGAGCGTACATGGAGAAGAAATAGCAAAATAAAGGTTTAACCTAAATGCGCGATATTTACATGTCCTTCTTCCAATGATATCTGTAACCGTGATATTTGAACGCGATGGTAATATTCGGTGTGCTTATCTTTCCAACAATTATACATGTATACGCCACTGTTACATTACATGATTTAACGCCTTTCATTCGTAACAAGCAACGCATTTAACATATTTACAATACTAAACCTATTAAAATATTAACAAATTGAACATATTTACAAAACTTTATACAAGATGCGGCACTGCCAGCAGGGTGAAAATGGCGTGACGACGTTGATTTCAAGGACGGAACGTGTAACTTTATTCAAAAATGAATTTAATGAACTACCGTCAAAGGCTAGGTTTGTGTTCGATTAGAACGAATTCGAGATGGTAAACCATCTCGAACACATTCCTGCCGACGAAATCAAGAAAAATAAAAATGAAAATATTGGCACGTAACATATTAGTCTAATCTTATGTGTGCTAATTTAAGTTTATTTGTATGAACTATTTTAAATTTATTTTTCCCTAGTGCTACTTCCGCAGTTAGGTCGTCAAACATTCGGTTTATTTTGTAGGGGCCTCGCCAATCGCAATCAAATTTTTAGAGGTTTCTGGTTCCTTGAGTAAGTATACTATGTCATTTACATTAAATTTACACGGTTTCAATGTCTGGTTGTAGTAAGCTTTACTTCTGTGTTTGGCCTTTACTAGGTTCTGTGCCGCCGTTGTCTGAGTGGTGGTGATCTTTGTAAAGAGCTCATCGAGATGCTGTGCAAACGTTCGAGGCGTTTGCCCTTTCGAGAATTACGAGGGTATGTTAGCCTTTACACCAAAAATTAACTCATGGGGAGTAAAACCTGTGGCCTCGTGTACTGAGATATTATAGGAAAAAATGCAAAACCTTATCCAATCATCCCAATCTGTTTTTGTGCAATAATGCTTAAGGTAATTAATAGAAACACGATGTGCTCTTTCGAGTGAGCCTGGAGATTGTGGGTGGAAAGCAGTGGATGTCACTCTTTGAATTTTAAAAATTTTGCAGAAATTTTTCATGGTTTGGCTGATGAAATTTCTTCCTTGGTCAGTATGAATAACTCTTGGACAGCCAAATCTACTGATGAACTGGTCAACAAGGGTATATGCAACAGTTGCTGTGTCTATACTACGTAATGTAATTGCATCTGAATATTTAGTGAGATTATCCTGTAGGGTGAGTAAATACTGATTTCCGTTACTAGTTACGGGTAAGAGTCCGACTATGTCCATTTATACCTTTTCAAACGCACGTTTGGGAGTATCCGTGATTTGCATCAGTTGTTTAGTTTTAATAGTGTAATTTTTGTTTGTTTGGCAGGTGGGACAGGATCGAACAAATTCAATGATTTCTTTTGCCATGCCTGGCCAATAGAAATGTTCTTGGATAAGCTGACGAAATTTAAAGGAGCCTCGGTAGCCTCCAATTACCCATTCATGATGTTCTTTAATGATTTGGGAGCGTCTCGTTTCGAGCGGAATTATAATCTCTTTTCTGCACACTGTAATTACATATATTGGATCATTAAAAATCTCCCTAAGCAGATCCAATATGTTGTTTTGTTCGGAAGAATTGAACCTATCCGAGTCTATTAATATGCTGAAGGTTTTCGAATTCAAAGAGTCTAGGAGGACTTTAAGTGATTTTAACGAAGATTTGATATGATCAAGGTTAAATTCGTCTTGGGGTTCGGTTTTAAAGAACAAGAAGAAAATGGAATATTTGTCGTTTGGGAAAGCCATAGCATCACCAACATTGGCCTGGTATTGCTGTATCTGCTCCATTGAAAATCCAATTTGGCCTGGTAGGCCCTAAGTGGTTTGAGAGGTGTCGCTGCGATTTAAGGAGGTAAAGTGGGCGAAATTATCTCGCCGTACGAAGAGGTGATCCTTTTTGTGAAATATGGCGGGGGAGAAGAGAGGAGATGCCGTTGATCTATTTACGTGGAAGATAGTAAGCAAAATTCGTTTTCCAATATTGATTCTATTTCCATTATTAGTGTCTTGTACCAGTGGTTCTTTAAAATCTACAGAATTTCCCGGCGAGGTCACTCCATTGGATTCCCCTGTGCAGTCTTGGACGCTAACATTCATACTTTCCCCTCTTTTTTTTTTTTTTTATTACCGTGGCGGAGGGGAAATCTTCAAAAAACACCCCCTAGATGTTGTTGGGGGGTAGTGTGAGATTTTTACTCACTAAAACCCCTCCACCACAGCCCCCCGGGCGGAACTTACCCGGGGGGGGAGGGGGTCGCCAAAACCTGGCGACCGCACACCCTCGTGGCCCTTGCAGGCCTATCTCCCTCGTAGGGCCTCCACCACGCAAGAGGGGCCACTCCTTCTGGCCACCGCACCAGTCCCACGTCAGCAGGGGGCAGTAGATCCTGTCCAAGGCTGGCGGGGCAGCGGTGCTCCTCCTCCTCCTCCAGGCCCGGACCAAGAGATCATGCCTCCGACGAACCTCCCTTACCGGTGTCGGCATCTTCTTGCCCAGTCTGCGTGGGAACCCTTGGGTCTCCTGCAGCGAAATGGGCACGAAGGTGTCGGGGGTCGTGGGTGGACCGAGTGGGGGCTCGGCAAGCCCATATCGGCGGTCCCGGGGATGGCAACTCCGGTTGGGTCCCTCCTCCCGGGGTCTTATAGAGTAGGTAGTGGGGGAAGCAGCTAACACCCTCCCCTCGGAATGCATGTAAGCTGGGAAGTGTCCTGTTGAGTATTCGCGTGACCCAGGCGCTTCCCACGTAGCTTAGGCGGGCGTGGGGTTTTAGCGGGCCTCGGCGCTGTAGGGAGGGCACCGGGATCTCTTTCGAACGCTACCGGTCCCCCCCCCCCGTGCTTCCACCCCCAGCAAAGGAGGAATGCCACCACCGGTGGGGAGTGAAATCCCTCCCCACCTGACCGCGGGTGCCGCGGCCCACGATCCTACCTGTCCCTTTTAGTCGCCTCTTACGACAAGCAGGGATTACTGTGGGCGTATTCTGTTCTCCGCCCTACAGGGAAGAATGCCGCTAGAGGACCGAAGGCCCACGGTGGATAAGCGCTGTGCATATTCCTAGGAATTAAGGCGTCAGGTGACGATCCCCCCATGCCCGGCGACCCCTCTGGCAGCCAGGGAGCTCAAAACTTCAACCTGAGCCTCTCTCTCCAGAAGGCTGGGCACTCCTGCAGCATGTGCTGCGCGGAGTCAACCTCCGCGCCGCACTGGTGGCACACGGGCGACTCATCGGCCCCCACCTTATGCAGGTACTCACCGAAACAACCATGTCCGGTGATCACCTGCGTGAGCCTGTACGTGAGCCGTCTGTGCCGGTGCTCCAGCCAAACATCGAAGCTCGGCAGGACCGTCTCACCGCACGCTACCGGGCGGCACCGATCTCCTGGAGCTGGCGCCGCCACTTTTCGCGGGCAAGCTGCCACCTCTGGCGGCGAAACACTTCGATCGCCCCGTCCCGCGGTTCGTCCTCGTTCCGGCGGAGGTCTTGCATACGCCGATGCACATCGGCGTGTGCCTCCGCCTGGAAGTCGAAGGGGACGGCCCTCGCCAGGACGGCCGCCGCCTCACGGAAGATCGTGCGATCACTCTACGCGATTCTAATGGCCATATGCCACTGCACACGCCGCAGCAGATGGCGGCCATGACGGCAGGCCACCAGATTGCGCGCCCACACGGGAGACCCGTATAGACCCATCGATATGGTTACTCGACGATGCCGGCAACTGCCGCCGCCACAGTGTCAGCCGTGACGGACTCGTCCAGGCCGCTAACCCGCGTCTCCGCGGTTTTAACGGGCCTGGACACCTTCACCTCCGTGCCGGCGAGCAGCTCCGCCAGGCGACCAGCCAGGCGGTCCGCCCCAACAGCGCTGTCCGGGCCTAGGATCTATAAAATGGAGGATCCGGTTTGCCCTTGCGGTACCGGATGCCAGTTACACCGACATCTCGTAACCGCACGCCGGCGATCGCGTTCGCCATGACCTTGGAGTAGGTCATGGCACTGCCCGGGGCGACGGTAAGAGATACCGCCGCCCTTTTCGGCGCACGCGGCGGGTGAACCCGCCGACCAGTCAAAGCGCCAGTTGGCTGCGCCCCGCGAGAGCGAGCACGCGCCGCCTCCCCACGCCTTTCCTTGCGTCCGAGCACCTTCGAACACGTCTCAGGTACCGAAAGGGGCAGGGAGGGCGCCACAGGCGCGGCTGAAGGCCCCGCTCGGGGCGCAGCCGGAGCAGGCGCGGCACGGGGCCGGTCTCGGCTCGGCAAGGCAGGAGCAAGGGGGGAAGCACCGCCACCGGTTTTCTTCTTCCCGCCTTTCTTCCTCTTTTGCTGCTTCCCTGCCGGCTGTTCCTTGCCTGTTCCCGTCCCGGGGCGACTCCCCACTCCTGAAGGACTGGGTCCCTCGCAGGCGGGGGAGCGCGAGCTCCGCCGCCAGCTCCTCTTCGCCCTTGAGGGGCTTGCAGGACCTGGAGATACGGACAGAAGACACAAAGGGGTCCGCGACGTCCACCGCCAGGTCCAGCTCCCTCTCGCGAAGCTTCTACTCAATGAGCTTACGCTTCGTTTTGGTGAGGCCGACATGATCCCGTGTGGTAGGGGCTCGACCTCGCTTCCTCTTTAACGAGGACTGGAGGGAGCGCGCCGACCACACCGAGTTGACTGACCCGTCAGAGTCAGCGCCGTCGTCGGACGCACCCGCCGCCGCCAGGAGGCGGCTGGAGCAAAGCTCCCGTCCCTCCATCCTCTCTAGCCGGACGACAGGCTGAGCAAGGAGAGGTGGGGAGGGTCGGGGCGTGCCGGATCACGCCTCCGACGACCCTCCCTTACCGGTGTCGGCGTCTTTTTGTCCTGGCGTTCAGGAGGCTCTTTGTTTTCTGAACCAGTACGGACACGAAGATGCTGAGGGCTGTGGGTGGACTGAGCGGGGGCTTGGGAAGCCCATTCCGACGACTGGGATTGGGACACCGGGCGGGTCCCTCCGCTCGGGGTCTTATAGAGTAGGTAGTGGGGGAAGCTAACACCCTCCCCCCCGGGATTCATGTAAGCTGGGAAGCGTCCTGCGAGTACTCGCATGATCCAGGCGCTTCCCATGTAGCTTAAGTGGGTGTGGGGTTTTAGTGGGTAGCCATCGCGGACGGGCGCGCCTTTAACGCTCCCCTCCTCGATAGTAGTCCCACATAACCTCGGTTTCCCCCCCCCCCCCCCGGAAACCGAGGTATGCGTAACGCATTTCCCCACAATACAAAGGAAAAAAAAAAGGCTGAGCAAGGAACACGTCCTTGCGCACCCTGACGCCGGTAGACGCCGCAGCGGAGGAAGTCCCCGTCACAGACGTTTCTTTACCAGGCGCATTGCTGAACCCGGGGGCCTGGTGGTCTACCCCGAGGTACTCCCAGTCGTAAGATAACGATGTGGGGGAGCCTGGTCGACTACTCCTCACCGCACCGGTACTGAGGGTTCCGACGCCCTCCGCACCGTAAACGTTCACTCCTCGGTTGTCCATGTTCATAAGTCAAAGCGCCCCATTTCGGGTGGGCGCCGTACCCATGCCTCCAAAACTTGCCATGTCGTCAACCAAGGGTCTGCCAGATGCTAGCTCTCCGCGTTCGCTCTCCACATACAGCAAATCGGTTCTCGCAAGCGAGCGCCGACTACCGAAGCGGCAAACCAGGAGGAGCCCCACGAGGAGGTGCGGTGAGTGGTCTTGATCGGATGCAGCCCGCCAACTTCGCCGAAGTTCTCCGCCCAGGAAGACGCCAAAGCGCCTCCCTGGAATAAGGGAACATCAGCTAGGTCGTGGTTTTTGACCTGACCTGGAGGTTTGTGGAAGAGGCATGGTGACCTCGACCAACTGCCTCAGTGCCAGGAAAGCGTGCGTCCAGCCTCGTGCTCCCGCCGACGCCTGAAAACTTCGGCGTCGGCGGCCGCCTGGAGGTAAAAGGGGAGGTATCCTGCCAGGATCAGCGCCGCCTCCGTAGAAATGGTGCGGTAGCCCCTCACCACCCTGATGGCCACCCGCCGCTGTATGCGGCGGAGCATGTGCCGGCTTTGCCGGCACTTGGCCAGGGTGTCGGCCCATACGGGACATCCGTATAGGGCCATGGCCCGCACCACTCCAACATAGAGGCGGCGCACCTTCTCTTGCGGCCCCCCGAGATTAGGCATGAGGCGACCAAGCATGGTCACCACCCTCTCAATCTGGGGGGACAAGTGGTCGAAGTGACCTTTAAAGCGCTAGCGGCCATCGATGTCCATGCCGAGATATTTGATCCGGTCCTGGACATCGATGCAGGCTTCACTTATGCGGATCCGCGCCGGGGGAGGACGCCGCGACAGAGGCAGCCCGTGAAACCAGACCGCCCCCGTCTTCTGCGGCGACACTTCCAACCCCAATGCGCGGATCCGGGCGACGACCGAGGTCACTCCCATCTCGGCGACCCGGCTCGTCCTCGTCCATTCCCTGCCCCCGGCAATAACGAACGTGTCATCTGGAAAGCAGACGACCGCGACGCCGGGAGATAGGGGCCCGCCTAGCACGCGGTTGTACCCCACCA